AGGGTTAGCGTTAGGTTTTTCGTTACGTTAACGGTTAGGTTTAGGGTTAGATTTAGGGTTAGGTTAAGAGTTAGGTTTAGGGTTAGGTTTAGGGTTAGGTTTGGGGGGGTTAGGGGAAGGTTTTAGCTTTATTTTTACATTTTTCGATCACAGCGCAATGTTTTCGTCGCGCTGTGATGACGTCAAATGCGCCCTTTCGTCGAGCGCGATTTTGTCCTCCGCGATTTTGTGGTGGAACCCTTTATTATATAGAGGTGAGAATTGGGTAGGAAAAAATATAAAAATAAGTAGAATGCCAGGTAAATGGGGTACAAAAAGAGTCTAAGGTAAAAGAAGAAAATATGGTCCCAAAAATGAACAGCTGCTGGATGAATGTGGCCTGAGTAAAAATTAAATATGTATATTTATATATATTGTTATATGTTGAAGTATTTATTTGAGAGATTGAAAAAAGACCAGATTGCAAAGCAAATGTATTATAGAAAAAAATAAACGGGTTGAAAGAAAGGAGAAGACAGAGAAAAGCATGGTTACATGTAGCAGATGGAACCCTCTAAAACAAAGAGAGGAAATATATGAAATGGTTTGATGAATAATATTGACATAAATTAGCTTTATCTCTGTATTTCTTTTCTTTTTGTTTTCCTTTAAATTTCTTATTCATATTCTGCTTTGTATGAATGCTTCCTATGAAGCGGAAGAGCAAGATGTATATGCATGTATGACTTAGAGCAGAAATCTTCAAACTTGGAAACTTTAAGACTTGTGGACTTCAACTCCCAGAATTCTCCAGCCAGCATATCTTCTGGAAGTTAAAGTCCACAAGTCTTAGTTGCCAAGTTTGGGGACCCTTGACATAGAGTAATGTATGAATGCAACCACTAAATTTGCATGAGATTAATTTTGCTCAGTGCAAGCACATTCAAACTTTGTAGTGTTGTGACCGCCCCCCCCCCCGAATAATAAATGATTGCATTTGACTCCCCGTCCCCTAAATAAAACAAAATAATGACTGAGTAAAAATGCTGCAATTGGATAGATGGCTAGGTCCTGGATTTATCCATCTCTTGTACATCTCTTGGAGGTTTATTCTCCACTGCAAGTCCATAGCAGTATTGCTGTAAAGTTGAATTGGATTTTCACAGCATCTATTTTTTTTTCTTAAACCAGATTAGCCTTACAAAATTTTTGCAACTTCCTCCTCCCCAAACTACTTAAATTGAACTACAACCTACTGGCTCTGGAACCCCTAACTTGAATGCAGCCCTTCTCTCTAATAAACCATGTTTTATATAAGGGCAGCTAGTACGATCTGCAGAAATATTTAAGTAGGAAAATAAGAGCTTCTCTTCCATTATTTCTGTTTTTGGTTTCCTCCACTGGCCATTAGAAGAGAACTTGATTTCATCCCTGTTCTTTCTCTGTATTCATCTGTTCTTTTGAAAACTTTATTTATTTTACATAGAACTTACTGCTTTTAGAAAGGGCTGGCAAATAAAAAAGGCTTTAAAAATGAAACATTTCATAATGTGTGGGCTGGAAATAGGTTGTTATTGTCCTAAATGCATTAAGAACTGAAATATTTTTTAATAGCAATGGACTGAGAATAAGGGTATGGGATGGGGATGGTTTGAACTCTGTGTTGAAATTTTAAAATTGCCAAAATGAAATAAGAGCTAGAACACTAGAAGAAATGGAAAGTATTGAATAATTGAAATGTAAGTCAGGCAAGCGGGTTGTCTACTGAAAGAGAAAATCTGCTTTCAGGAACTAATTAGGAGATTATATAAATGCTAACAGTCAGACCAGATGTAAAAAGTTATTTCTGGCATTAATAAAAGGCACATAGGGAAATCCACATAGGGATGGTGAAAGCACAGCTTTTGCAGCACATTGTCTTAGCCAAAAAACAACACAGATACACACATGTAGGATGAAGGAGATCTATGTGCAGTAGAAATTGGTGCTGTAAAAATTAGACATTTCAATAATATCTGAAATCTATGGCCACATAAAGGCTAAATTCTATAATACTTGACTGTGTTTCTGAATAATACTCTGAACCAAAACTGGGAAAATGGGCTTGTAGCAAAGAACAGCTAGTGCAGGGAGCAGGTATTAGATTTATTAGGCTAGTCATCTGTGTACTTGCAGATACCTCAAAGTTCTCAGGTATCCATTTTTTAAAAAATGTTTTAATTAAGAAATGAGAAATCTACTACACAGCTGACTACCATCTTACAAGATGATCTTTTATTTCCAGTAATGCTTAGTTATTTAGTAGTTCTTAGTTTTTCCAAAGAACAATTTTAATATGGGCATGAGTTCCAGGATGGGAGACAACAGGGATGCCCACAGATTCTGGTAAAAAAAGTTAGATAGCAGCCATACAATCATACGTTTGTATCTGCAATCTACATTCTCACAGGCAAGATTTTGATTTCACCCATTGTGGATGCTATCTTTTTAAAACTATATGCAGTAGACACTTCTGGCATTGGCTGAGCATTTGATGTATTGGGAGCTTCTGAACTTTCCCAACAACATCTCTAATCCTCCAGCAAATGATTTTGAATTGAAATAATTATTGAGAAGTAACCGAGAAAGATGGTTGGATCCCAATGTTGTGTCAGTGCATATGTTTCTACAAGGATTTCACATGGTTACAATCTACATTCAGTGGAAATAGAGCACCATGCATTAGAACAGGGGTCCCCAAACTTGGCAACTTTAAGACTTGTGGACTTAGCTGGCTGGAGGATTCTGGGAGTTGGAGTCCACAAGTCTTAAAGTTGCCAAGTTTGAAGACCTGTGCATTAGATGGTGTGTGCCACATAGAAATCGGATGACACCTCTCCCACTAGAGGCATTATATTCTAAATAGATAAAGCACATCAGAAGGAACCTTGAAAGCAGTGGGATCATCCCATCTGAAGGAACCTTGCAAGTCATCTGAGCCAATCACAGCTGAACTCATGATTTATAATGCATGATATGACTACAATATTCTTGATAGATGGTTGTCTTCCCCTGCTTAGATGTTAATAAAACTCTAAATGTAACCGACTTATTAAGCCACAGTTCATTCCAGCTGAAAAAAAATACTCTGACCCTTATAACCTTTCAGTTTGTGTTTGTAATTTTATTTACTTTAAAAAGAAACCAGGTCTTCATTCACTCATACAAAGCAAGGGTAGGCACTAAAAAAATCTTTTCAGTATTTTAAGCAAGCAATTTCAACTATAAGAAACAAAAAATGAAAGTTAGATAGAACAGAAAGAGTCTAGTTGCCATAAAACTGGTCAGATCTGTAAAGCAGAACTGACAGATCACTTTAAACCAGCTGTTGAGAAGTTTAGCTGACACCAGAGTATTTATCCACTGATTTACAATACAGCTCTGCTTATGCAAGAATTATCTGCATGGGAAAGCTGTTGGAAGGAAATCTTTTCTAAAACCTAGCCTCAAAAGGCAGTCTAGGCTATGCAAAATAAAACTTTGATAAGCCTGAAAATATTTTGGAAATAAATACTTTGAGCTGATGAAGCAAAAATTGAATTGTTCCACAATAACACAAGATATATTTGAAGACAAAAAGATGAGCAATTCATAAGAAAATAATACGTTGCGGGTTATTATGCTGTAGTGTAGTTTTGCTATGCGTTGGGCTTATGTGGCAGCCAATAGCAAAGAAGTTGGATACTTTAGCAAGTCAGTCTCATATACCTCCAAATTAATTGTGAAATATTTACAGAAAAGGAAAATAATGGTTTTGAAATGGCCTTCATAGTCCCAATACTTGATATTATTGCAAATCTTTGGGAAAATCTCAAATGTGCAATACATACAAGGAAACTTAAGAAAAGAAGATCTTCAAGGAACAGTGAGAAAAATTATTAGTAGGAAGACTCTGAGCTAGAAAGAGGTGTTGCAAAGTACTGATTGAAACAATGTCCAAATACTTCACTATAGTAGAAACACTGAGCAAGGAGGGGAGACAGTTAAATTGATAAAGAAGTCAGTGACACATATTTTTGAGCATCTATGGATATAAGCATCTAGTTACAACTATGTGTTTGGTATAATGGTTAAGGTACTTGTTAGAAATTCAGAGATAATAAATTCTAATCTTGCCTCAGACACAAAGCTAGCTGGGTGTTCTTAGGTCATTAATTTTCTCTCAGCCCTAGGAAGGAGGCAATGGCAAAAGATTTCTGAAAACTTGCCAAGAAAACTGCAGGAACTTGTTCGGGGCACAATGTCGCAAAGCTAGTTATTTAACTATTAAAAGATCCTATTAGGGCAAACTTTGCAAATCATTACAATATAATATGTTGATTGAGAATTGATGAAGTTGTAGTTCAACATTTTGGGAGGGGATTGAACTGATAAAGTGTACTGTGACGGGAAGTTGGCTCCTGTGTTTTTGCCCATCTAAATTCTGTTAATACACACTTCTGAGTACTTACTGAGAGGAAGTTACCAGTGATAAAAGAGCAAGCATGGGTTACACAACAGTTTTGAGATATTTATTCTAAGATCTCTAGTCACTAGTTGCATATCTTCTACTATAACATCACTGCTGCTCTCCTGGGGGAAGCATAGATGATGCATTGCTATCACATGAACAAAAAATAACCAGAGGTGTGGCTAAGAGGCATGTTTTGGGCTGAAGAAAGATAGTGAGGTTTTTTGTTTTTTTTTGGTGAGGGGTAGGCTGCTCTCTTTCTGATTTGTAAAAAAATGTGGGTAAACTAATAGTATGACATTATAGCAGGCATAAGAGATATATCTCTTCTCTGGCTCATCGCAGCCAAAGACACCCTCAGATGAGTTAGAGAAATCTTTCTGACAGCAGTGCTGTTTTCTTATAACTTTTCTTTTGCTTCTTATTTGCCTTATTTTGTCATCAGTGTCATTCCTAGCCCTGTTCACTCTGCCATGCAAAGCAAAATGTTCTACCGTCACGTCATCTAAACTTGACGACTTCTCTCTCCCAGATACCACAAGGACCAAGAAGAGTCATGAAAAGGAGGGCGTAGAATACAACTTTGTTTCAAAACAATCATTTGAGACTGATATACAGCACAACAAGTAAGCTTTGCTCTGAAGTACCTCTGAGGTACTTTGCTCTGAAAGTATGTCTCTTCTTGTATTAAGCCCTGTTCATGTCCTGTATCCTCTGAGAGTCTTAACTAGAGTAGCTCTCCTTTGCTGATAGAGACTTTAATTTCATGGGTAGAAGAGCTTTGACAAGCATATTTTATCTAAGTTGGGGCTATAATAATGGGGAAATTTTGTTGGGCTCTAAATGTTCTCCAGATTGGGATGGGAGCAAAGAGATCTTATTAAGGCTGGGTTTGTTTTACTTAATATGTTGAATTAATTGTGTGCACTATGTTGTATATGGCAGTTTCCTGGTTCCACTAGGGTGTACTCTACTCGGTTCTGATTGGTTCCTGCTTGACAGCCGGCATATATAAAGAGCTGTTAAGCAGGGTCTCAGTATTGCCATTATCTGAGACATGCGCCTAGTGAAATGCCATGTTGGCAACCTGTTAGCAATAAACTGTTAGTATTAAGAGATCTGGCTTGCCTCAGTCCTTCTCTCCACCCGAGTTCCCCCCCACCCGAGTTCTCCCCGATAGAACACACTCCTATGCTGCATTTCTGCCAATTTCTCAACACTTCCCAAAATTAGACAGTGTTCTGTGTCTGATCCAAAATCTCTTCTTGCCTGAACTTTCCTAGTTTGCCTTTGCTCGAAGGGGGAAGGGGAGGAAACTGAACAATTATTCTAGTACACAAAATTGAAGACCTTTGCTCCATGTGCCATGCTTCTTTTGGTACTCCAGATTTGCTGGAATTGCATTCCCCCGAGAGATTTATGCTAAATAAATAAACATTCTGGGATTTGAAGTTGCAACATATCTAGAGTTCTGGGGATCACTGCTTTGAGAGTCAAGCAGTACCATAGGCTGAGGGTATTAAAAGGTCCCTCCGCATGCTAAGGCTGAACAGATCTGAGATTACTGTGTTTCCCCGAAAATAAGACAGGGCCTTATTTTCTTTTGACCCCTGAAATAAGTGCTTAGCCTTATTTTCGGGGAGGTGTTATTATTTTTGAGGTGCCAGAGGTGGCGAGCGTGGTCACCTCATGGCTGCTACTGTGTTGCAATATTTTTGGGGAGGGCTTATTGTAGTGAATGTGCTCAAAAGCCTGATTGGGCTTATTATCTGAGGAGGTCTTATTTTCAGGAAAACAGGGTAGTTTTATATTAGCTTTGACTTCAGAATGCTATAATGTTTGTGTTATGTTTGGGAAAGTGACTAGATGTCTCTAGGTATAAGATTTCTTGTGTGTGTATGCTTTCTAAGCATTTGCTCTTTCCTTGATGAAAGTGAAATGTTCAAAAAGAGTCATCCCTTTTAAATCTTGTGGCCTGAAGCAAATTATTAAAAATAGAAAAGACAAAGACGAAGTAAACAATTTTATGCTATAATAAACATTTAACACGTTTGCATGCTGCAATCTCTTTTGAGGTTGGTGTTCTGTTTTGCTTTTTCTCACTTAATTCCCTCACAATTTTCAGGTTTGTAGAACATGGAGAATATAAGGAAAATCTTTATGGGACAAGCCTGGAGGCGATACAGTCTGTCATGTCTAAAAATAAAGTTTGCCTTGTGGATGTTGTGCCTGAGGTAAATTAACATTTAAAAGAAAACCTGTGCTCCAGATTTGCTTTTCAGTTTAGGGTCGATCGTAACCATGGACAACATATGGCCTTTAGAAAGAAATTAGTGTGTAGCAAGAACTGTGACAAATAACAGACACATTACAAGTTAATTTCCTTGTGGAAATATGCTGTGTTATTTTCAGATGTGCCTTGTATCATATATTTTTATAATGTTTTTGTTACTTGGCACTGCTACATCTATCATTATCTCCTGGTCCTTGATTACCCCAAGATGTCTGGTTGATACCTGTCTGACCATCTGGATCTGGAAGTCTCACAGAATTTTAGCCCTATTATTCTCCTCAACCTTCTGTGGTATCTCTAATTTGAACTTGGGAGTTCATTATGTTCAGGAACATCTGGACCATATACATTCCAGATGTTCCTGGACATAATGCCAATTACCTGGTTGTGCTGTTCAGTGTATATTGTTCCTGCTTGCAACTTACACCTAACACTATGTGTTTGTCTCTGAGGCCTGTCTACAAAGCCTGCACCTATAATATCCAAGATAAATACAAATAAATAATATATATATATATATAGTGTCTTGGGTTCTAAATTATCTTCCTTTTCATATTCATCTTTTATTACTTTTAATAACTAGTGCATTTGGTTGGAAAAACAAAACCGGGCCCATTTTCAAGCAAATAGCATTCAGTTGACCATCAGTTGAGTAATTATCATTTACTATTTAAGTTGAACAAGTAAAAATACTTCGGATAGTTTCAAAAAAATATTTCATCAGTACTAGGCTTCTCTCCCAGATATTTTTAACTTTATTAATTTATAGGCCTTTTTATCCTGGTGTATATTAATGATGCTATTTATTGAGTGCCTCTTTTATTATATTTACGGTTATATTATAAAGCAATATTACAGCAAAATTCAAGATTTCTTCAAAGAGTCTTTCAGGCCATTAAATCAAGAGAAATAATGACAATTTCTTTCCTTTAAGAAATTGCGGCTACAGATTTCTGTTTTGCATATTTCTGCTTCCAGGCAGTGAAGCACTTAAGGACAGCCGAATTCAAGCCCCATGTGGTCTTTGTAAAACCTCTTGTCTCTGAAAAGAAAAAGAACACGCCAGCCTCTCTGCTGACAGAGGACATTTTTGTCCCGCTTGTAAGTATTTTGTATTGAAAGGATGGTTTTATGCTAGGAGCTTATAATGGGATGGGCAACATTTACCTCTGCTAAGGGCTGTCTTCCCTGGAAGGCTATCTGTGTACAACACCAGAAATTGATCTGAAGGATGTGGTAGCTATGCAGACCAAAGTGAGTGTAGGATCACCCATTTTTCATTTTCGTTCTAAAGTTTTTATTGACTTCCTTGGGTGCTCCTTCAATCCTCCTTTTCTCTCTTCTGTTGCCCTTGGCTTATGCATTCCAAAATTTCTTTTTACAGTATCCCCAGCAGTGTTTGCCTGTAGGGAGTCAGAGTCTGCAAGATGGTGGCCACAGTGTCATAATCCAATTCCAGACCTTTCGCGCTGACCGATGATCTCTGGCAGGCCAGGGATAGAGGACATTCCTCTATCCTGGTGCTCCTTGACCTTTCAGCGGCCTTCAATACCATCGACCATGGTATCCTGCGGCGGCTGGAAGAGGTGGGAGTGGGAGGCACCGTTTTACGGTGGTTCTCCTCTTACCTCTCTGGCAGGTCGCAGTCGGTGTTGGTCGGAGGACAGGTCGACCCCTAGGCCCCTTATATATGGGGTGCCGCAGGGCTCAGTCTTGTCCCCCCTCCTATTTAATATCTACATGAAGCCGCTGGGTGAGATCATTCGCCGGCACGGGATTAAGTACCACCAGTACGCGGATGATACCCAGCTGTATCTTTCCGCCCCGTGCCAACTCAGTGAAGCGGTGGAAGTGATGTGCCAGTGCCTGGAAGCTGTCAGGGTCTGGATGGGAGTGAACAAGCTTGCACTCAACCCTGACAAGACCGAGTGGCTATGGATGTTGCCCCCCAAGGATAGTCCAGATACTCCATCTTTAAGCCTGGGGGGAGTGAAACTTTACACCCCTCAGAGAGAGCCCGCAACTTGGGTGTTCTCCTGGATCCGCAGCTGACTCTAGAACACCATTTGTCAGCTGTGACCAGGGGAGCTTTTGCCCAGGTTCGCCTGGTGCACCAATTGCGGCCCTACCTGGACCGGGAGGCACTTCAAATGGTCACTCATGCCCTCGTCACCTCAAGACTTGACTACTGTAACACGCTCTACATGGGGCTGCCTCTGAAGAGTGTTCGGAGACTACAATTGGTCCAGAATGCAGCCGCGCAAGCGATACTGGTGTACCGAGATACACCCATGTTACACCCATCCTCCGCGAGCTGCACTGGCTCCCCATCGGTCTCCAAACGCGCTTCAAGGTCTTGGTTATCACTTTTAAAGCCCTACATGGCTTAGGACCCGGATATCTACGAGACTGTCTCCTGTCACATACCTCCCAGCGTCCAATAAGATCTCACAGGATGGGTCTTCTCCGGGTGCTGTCGACTAGACAATGTCATCTGATGGCTCCTTGGGGGAGGGCTTTCTCTGTAGCTGCCCCAGCCCTATGGAACGATCTACCCCCAGAGATCCGGACCCTCCCCACTCTCTCGGCCTTCCGGAAGTCTACTAAGACCTGGCTGTTCCGGCAGGCCTGGGGCTGTTGACCTCAGGAACGAGGTCCAGCCCCACTAAGGTTGAGTGCATGATGTGTCTTTTTAATTTCTTCTCTTTCTATTTTAAATTTTTTAGTATTCTTTTAGAATCGTTCGGGATTGGGCGGCATATAAATTTGTTAAATCTTGAATCTTTCATAAATGTGGCAGTATCCCATGCACATATAAAAGGGGCTGACTTCGATCTTGATGCTATTCTCCTCATCTTGAGATTTTGATGCCTGTACTCCATGAATATCTCTGACTATATCTTGCCCATTGTTGCTTAGATTTCATTCTAAAGTCTTTGTTGTTGGAAAATTATACTCTGGTGATTAGATCCAGATTCTTATTATATACACTCATTAAGCTAAGCTATGGTTTACTTGTTTGGAATTCAATAAATCACTGTTCAGTGAATTTGCATATGGCTCTAAGCCATCAATCTAATTTTCAAATCACAATGACTAGATTCATACAACACATTAAATGCAAACCAGACAAACCTCATAATGACTTAAATTTAATGTAATGGGTAAAGCTGATATTGGTGCAAAGAATAAATCCATTGTAATCAGTGGGGCATAAATCCATCATGACTTAAATGTCTTTGATTTTCTAACTATTATTATAGTAGGTCTGGTTCCAACTGGTTGCATATTTAATGAATTCTTAAGTGAGTAGCAAATAAATGTACAGGCAAAGAAAAATGCCTTAAATTATTATACCTGTAACTCAACAAATTCAGGTTATTACAGATAATCCTTGACTTACAACCATTCATTTAGTGACTAAAGGTATAACAGCACTGAAAAAAAGTGGCATGACCGGTTCTTGCACTTATTATCATCACAATATCCCCACAGTCACTTGATAAACATTTGTGTTCTTGGCAACTGGCATGTATTGATGATGGTTGCAGTATCCTCAGGTCATGTGATTGCCATTTGGGACTTTCCCAGCCTCCTCCTGCCATGCAAAATCAATGGAGAAAGCTGGATATGCTTATGGTGGCATGATTCACCTAATAACTGCACTGATTCGCTTAACAACTGTGGCAAAAAAAGGTTGTAAAATTGTGTGTGACTTACATAACAATCACATTTTGCAACAAAAATTCTGATCCCACTTGTGCTCAGAAATCAACAACTATCTGTACTAAATTTCACTAACCAAATCTGCTTGCTGTAGCAGAATTACCCAATTGGATTCCTCCCCCACCCCTTAGGAAGTGCCAAAAGGGTGTTGCAGCTCAAAACCAAATTTTAAAGAGCCAAGAATCCCTTTAAAAGGTCCCAAGGTCCCAAGAGTCATTTCCTATTGTCTTTCTGTTCCATTTTGCAGGATGAGGAGCAGCAAGAGATGATGAACTCAGCAGCCTTCATTGAGGAACAATATGGCCACTTAATCGATACTGTCCTGTTGAAGGAAGATCTCCAGAGTGCCTGCAGCCAATTGAAAACCATATTGGAGAAACTGAACACAGACTGTTTTTGGGTGCCTGTCTCTTGGGTCAAGTTGTAGTCAGCCATGTTACGCCAAAAAAGAAGATGTATTCCTGTTTGATAATAATAATTTGTAAATAGAATGGATGGTTAAAAAGGGAAAATGCTGCTGCAGCAGCCAGCCAGTTTGAAAAGCTGGAAAGAGAATCTGTCTGCAGCTAAAACCATATTCTGATTAATCACTTCATCTACAAGAATGGAGTGAAAAAACTGCACGATACAATCCAGGGTATGTGTGATTCCTTTTAGGCAGCAGTTCTAGATATTTGAATGCTGTTTCAAGCTCCGTGACCGAGATTCAAACTGGGGTCATCTTGACAAAGATTAAATAGCTGGGAAACATTACAGAGTAAATTATGCCAACTCTGAATCTTCCACAATCAATAATAAATGAGAGAGTCTTTCAATTAAGGGTTATAATATCAGATAATACAATAATATTCCCCGCTCCTCCTATTGGTTGGCCAAGCGGAATCAAAAGAGCATTAGAAGTGACAGTTGATACTTTACTAGAAGATAAGTCTTCCTGGCCACCTGCAAAGGCTTTAATAATTTTGTATGAAAATTAGCCATGCTGTATATTCTCTATATAACTATATTTTGAGACATTCGTGATTTAGTGGGATTTTCTCTCGGGATTATCTCAGTAAACTGCTTAAGCAATGTGTTAAATTATGAAGTCAAGGCATTGGAAAGTGTCTCAGTTCTAATCAAAGGACCACAAATTTCTCACGAGAAAAGCTGGAAAAGCATTTCTCCTCTATTTCTGCATTGTTATGGGCTGTAAATGCTGAGGTATCTGTTTTGTAGGCTAATCAGTTACCCATTTTAAGTCAGCTTTAACTTATGCAAGTGGTCTGAATTTTTAAAAGTGCAAAGGATGTTTGATATAAGCTCGACCTTGCAGAATGATAGCTGCAGAGCTATCAGGAATCAGAACTACCCAATGTCCAAGCCTGTCTGTGACTAGCATAATACTGGATTTGCTGTGCAAAGATACAATTGGGCACAGAGTTCAGCATCCAGAAATTCACTTTGAAGGCCAAGAAAAAATTTAGCTCTTCCAATGATTGAAAATGTATAGTTTTTGTTTGCTTTTCTGGACTTGGTAAATATCTGAAGTGGAACATCTTTCAATTCTAAGAATTGAGGTGAAGGACCATCAGAACTCTGAAGCACCACAACTAGCCTTTTCCAGATCTCCCTATTCAGTATGATTGGGTCATCATAAACACATACAAGTTGTCCACCATGTTTTGCTTTGTTTAATTCTTCTTGTAGAATGATAATTTTTTTTGCAGATAATGTTGCTTTAGTGATTAAAAGGGAGGGTTAGTTCTTGTGAGAAAGTGCTTGACGTTTCTGTATTTTTCTTGTTCTCTTTTGTTCCACTTTTGTACTGGTTTTTCTGTTCCACTATGTTTTTTGTGCATTTCTCTGTAAAGAAAATATTTCCCATTGGAAAAAAATAATCATCAATCTTCCTAGAACTCTTCTAGAGCTTAACCACAGCATTTATCACCAGTCTGTCTTGAAGCAGAAATTATTGATGTACTTATTTAATTCTGTAGTTTTAAAATTGTGAGGAGAATTGGGGCTTTGTTAAAAAGAATTATCATTGATATTGACTGAATATGGGTCATCAAGTTGGTGTCAGTTCTTAGCAACCATATAGATCATTCCTCCAGGTGGATCTGTTCCCAGGATACTGTAGTTCTTCAGATCTTCCAATGGTGTAATCTATCCCTGCAGTACCTGAGTCCATCTGCCTTGTTGCTGGTCATTGTCTTTCCTTTCATCATTCTCAACATTACAGCTTCTCCAAGAGCCAGATGTCCTCGTATGTGCAAAGTAGCATAATTTGAGCCTGGTCATTTGTGCTTTGAGTGATATATCATTAAGATTGATGATACTAGGCCAGGAGTGTCAGATGTACGTCATCACGTCATCACAACTTTTTCCCCTTGGCTAAAATAGGAATGGGCATGGCCAGCACATGACATATCCAGCCTGCGGGCCATGAATTTGACAACCATGTACTAGGTGAACCTCTCTAGAAAACAGCTGATTCACTATTATTAATCTTTTTGTGAATGAAACAAGGTTCTAGGATACATTGTCAATGGATGTGAAAGGCTGGTAGAGTTTGAGAGACTTAGCTAGCATCTGACACAAGGTATATGTTCACTTTATATATTGTATGTATGTGGTATACTATGGTAATTGCATTTATCCTTTACAAGTGTGGGAGAGAGACATATAGCTTGGAATGCAAGGAATTCCCCCCCTCCCAATTTCTCTCTGAACCCCTCATTCCTAAAATAAAAATTCCCCTTTGGTATCAAATACATAGTTTGGTTCGTAGAATATATCAACAAGCTGGTAGGAATTGTGTAACTAAGAATTCAAGTTCCCTAAAAGTGTTAGTCTTTTGCAAGAAGAAAAAAAAGCTAATCAATTAATTATTGCATACAATCTAGGTATACAATAATTATTTTCTAGTGTCCTTCAGAAGACAAATTGAGGAGCAGAAGATGCTCCTTGAAGAGGAAAAAAAAATCAAATCTTTCATACCAAACAACCACAACCCATTTTACAAATTGGATGTGGGAGAGGTTGGGTGTCAGTAGCAAGGCAAAATAATTCTTTTTAACAATGCATGAATGCAGCTAGAATATTCAAAACTCTTTTTAACAGTACATATGTGTGCAACTAGAATATTTTTAAAATTGTTTTTATGCAGAAGAGCGGCTTGTATGCCAGCAGTGCGCCTGACTGATGAGTTGCTTCTTTAAATAATTCACTTTGTTGTATCTGGGATAATACAATGAATTTATGCATTTAATACATGCAGTTTTTCAGAGAAAATTTTAGGAGGAGAACTGCTTGCTTTGATTTACCTCCATCCCCTTTCTGACATCTGACCCAAAGCTAGTTTCCTCTCCTTCTGAATATACAATTTCCACCCTCCCCCGTTGATATATTTCCCACCCTATTCCAGCATGCAGGATGTTTTCAATTGTATATACTTAAAACACAAAAGCTTAGCTCAGGTGTACAAGTGTGAATTCCCCTCTACTTTATGTCTCCTTCTTTCACTTCTGAGTTTTAGGTTGGCTTAGAGAGGAGAAAAGTTTGGGGGAACTTCAGTTTGGAAAACTGAAGTCATGGAATTGGTGTGGATAAATGATTGTACAGTAGTTAATTTTGCTTTAATCTGAAAGTCAATGAAATCTACACTGGTCTTCTGTGATTTGGCACTCGCCAAACATCTTTTAAAACTCACCAACCCAAGCATAGTAGTAGTGTAGTAGTAGTAGTAGTAGTAGTAGTAGTAGTAGTAGTAGTAGCAGCAGCAGCAGCAGCAGCAGCAGCAGCAGCAGCAGCAGCTGTAGCCATTGGGAAGTGGTGAATTTCCACGTTTTTCTCCTTTGATTTTGATTTTTTGATTTTGATTTTATTGACATTTGTAGGCCGCCCTTTTCCCTGAGGGGACTCAGGGCGGCTCACATAAAATCAGGGAAGGGGGAAATGCAGACAATAACATAGACACATATAATAAAAACAGTAAACAACATGCATTCATCATTCGGGAGGGGCAACTATCTTCATCCCCAGGCCTGACGGGCTAGCCAGTTCTTCAAGGCTGTGCGGAAGGCCTGGACGGTGGTGAGGGCACGAATCTCCATGGGGAGTTCGTTCCAAAGGGTCGGGGCTACTGCTGAGAAGGCCCTCCTCCTTGTGGTTGCCAGCCGACACTGGCTGGCCGATGGAATACGGAGGAGGCCCAATTTTGGTCACCTTACTTGGACTATTGTCTCTACCTCTTCATGCCAACTTACCAACATAACATGCATTATGCAAATAAAATCCAACCCAATATTTCTTTAAAAATATGTAATATTTGCTCTCCACATTTTTCCTTGTTTTCATTTTTCCTGAGCTGTGCATTAAGTCATGCCAGTCTATACAAGGCAGCTAAGTAACTTTGGAATATTAATAACTGGATATTTCCAGATTTAGACTGTTCTGGATCTTATTTGGAAATAGCTCTTTAATTCCCACACAAATAAGTATCTATAGCAATGCACACATTCAGCTATCTGCTAATGCCAATACTATAAAATACATTCTAGAAGAAAAGTGTTTTAAAACAGGGTTAGCCTGAATAGCCCATGGCATTGTTCCTTGTTTACTATTTGCACAAATCGTTTTCTGCTCATGCATTTGTGTATGGAGGAACTTCTGTCTCTTCTGGCTGTAATTCTTTTGACTTGTCCCTAGTTTCACCTCTATAAGAACAAAAGTAGTATAAATGTGCAGGTAAGTAGGAGAAGTAGGAGTGTTGACTACTGTTATTGGAAATAGATTAAAAAGAGAGATCACGTACTGAGTCTCAAAAGGTTAAAAGCCCCTTTAAAAACCCACAAAGAACTTGTATCTTACTAAACATTCTGAAAAAATCAGCCTGTTTCAAAACCATATCATGTGGGGAATATCTTACAGTGAGCATGTCAGCTGTTCGTGGCAATCTTTCTGATGAGAATTGAGCTTTCCACAGCTTCCATGTTGGTTTCTTAAAATTTGAACAGCTCCTGGGTTTGATGTATGTGTATGGAATGCATCTTGATGCTTGCATACATTTCACAATAGATATGCCTTTCATTGCCATTTGTTTTATTCTAAAACCTAAATGAAGTTCCCAGCTAGTGTTGACGGTACTATCAGCTAGCTAAATGGTGTATTTCGAGTAGTCTTAAACGGCTTGCTAATCCTCACATTTTCTTGTTTCCTGCAATAAATTTCAGAGAGACATGTTAGGATATTTAGGCAGTCTAGAAACACATTTTAAAGGAGTACCTGGAGGATTGTATTAACTGAGTTACACAGATTGATTTCCCTCCCAAACAGAGTCGATATAAATCAAATCCAAAGAAATACAGGCAGAAAACCACTTTAAAGTTAGTATACTAGGAAGTTCAATCAACTCGGTTAGACTGCTGGTCTCTAAGCCCTCCTGAGAGTCCTTCAGTGATGACTCCTAAGGTTCTTTTGGCTAAAGAATGTATTTAGACCTTTAGAATATTCATTGATTCATTCATGCTACCTTTATTGTTTTTATAATTCAAGGCAGCAAGCCTATTTCCCCTAACTAACAATCCCGTGAGATGTATTGGATTGAGAGTGACTAGCTCAAAGTGTCCCAGCTGGCTTTCATACCTAAGGGAAGACTAGAACTTCCAATCTCCTGGTTTCTAGCTCTGTGTCTTAACCATTAGACCAATCTGGCTCTCATACATGATATATAACATATCAGAAGTACTAGCAATAATAGTTTTTGCATTTAGGTGCACTGAGACTCTAATCCTCAGAATTCCAGCAAGCAGGTGGGCAGAGAGTAGCACTCCTAGCAAATCTGGAGGTCACCAGTTCAGTACAGGTAGTGCTAAATGCACACAAGACAGTTTAAAGTTTTTGTAGTAAAATACTTTTGTATCTGCACAATATGATAGGCTTGTTTAGGGTTTAGTTGATTTGTCAAATACGTAAGCCCAATTCTTTATATGGGTTAGTTTACATTTCAATGTATTGTGTGAGCCCAGAAAATAGATTAATATGAACAGAATTAAGATGACGATATGAATATGGCCATGCCATAGTCTAGTCTATTTTATTCAGTATTCTAAACCAGGCTTTCTTAATTTAAAATTTATGGACTTCAACTCCCAACATTCCCCAGCCTGCATACTGAGATTAAGAAACACTGTCCTAAACCATAAAGGCACGCTATTTTTTTTGTTCTGGGCATACTTAGTGGTCAAAGCAACAATAGGTCTAAGGCAACCTTTCTCCAAATTGACATTTCTAGAATGTTAACTGAAAACTCCAGAATGTTCAAGGGCTACAGCAAGAACTGAGAGGTTGCTAGGACCAGGACTCCAAAAAAGAGTAGAAGATGAGTGTACTGAATTCAATTCCCAACTAACAAGTAGGTTTCAATCTAAGGCATGGTAAATCCACAATGAGTTTTATGGAGAAGCCAACATGACAGATTCAAAAGCCGTTATTGGGAGACGGGGGACAGCACCTTGAGTATGAGTGCAGGGACTCTCCTAGAATGAAGGCAGTCTTGGGGGAAGACAAGGTAGGTGATGGAGAGATAGTTCATTCTTTGGCTGCCTGATTCTGAGCATCGCTGGAATTTTCCTCTCTACAGGAGCAAGTTTTGTTTGTTAAGTAGTGGAGGCCATCTCTCTCTATGGTGCTTCAGAAACTCGATGAAGATTAATCTCATGGAATTCCTGAAGAGGGGAAGCGCCATCCTAGTCTATAGTGAATATAACTTAAGCTCTTGCACATTTTTGCAACAAAAAAGCAAACCACAGACATCTGTTGGCACACACACCCTCCCACTATGCCTATGGCACATCATATAAGATCATAAATGGGGACAGGAAAAACTGATGAGGGTCTATGAAATCCCCTCTTA